GACACTCTTTGGCGGTTTGCCAACTAGTCTCGAAAACAGTTGCAACTTCACTACTCGCATGAAAAACTCGAGCTTCTTGTACTCGTCTAAGGGTACTAAGTGGTAGAAAACATTTACGGGACCGTGTAGTACTCTTAGACCATGTACTTTTTACCGTGTAGTACCCTTAGATCATGTGTCACCAACAGGCCCAATCATCCACGTCTTGTACTCAGCCATAGCGGGGTCAGCAAGACGGAACAGGCAAGTCATTTCTTCCTTGATTATGCCGACAGTTTTCGTCTGGGAGCTCTACACTACTTTCTAGAAAGGTTTCGGCTCTTTCTTTTCGGACGACACTTGTGCAGCTGTCCAGAAATGCTGTACGAAAAAGGTCCAAGGTTCGAGGTTTGATTTGTCGGTTCTCGAACTATGTTCGAGCTCAATCTTGTGGGGCGAAATAAAGGTGCCGTAGCTGGCACTCATTGGTCCAGTCGTTGAAAAGGCTGACTTGGTCGAACCTTTCAAGCCAGCTTTCCGGGTCTCCGAGTTGCGAACCAGGGAAAGTTGGCGGCTCCTTGAGTTGCTGAAGCAGCCCCGGTGCAGGTGGCACGGGCGCTGTCATTGTCGCCTTGGTCAATGTCACAGTCTTGGTTTTCTGAGTCTTGTTGCTTAGAAGCCAGTTCTGCGATGGTAAACCTTGTTGTCTACGGCTAACTCGCTGCTCGTACGTCAGTGACTTCTCCACAACACGTGCTGGGTTCACAGCTTGATGGTGGAGTCCTGTATATGAAATAAGCAGCACCTCCACCATATGGCACGCGGTTGTGACGTCGACGAAGGAAGCAGACCGTAGTTCAACTATCAAGCTGTTTATTTGCCAAACTTGTGGCCGGTCAACGAAGATTGAGATGACAGTGACACACATTGGCACAGATAGCGGCGAACTGAGCGTCGGCCATCGATTGACTGAAAAGCTTCGAAGGACGTCGGGGATTTACACATGTGCCATTGAATATTCCGGCTTTATGACTGGCCGGCGCGCATTTTCTGGAATAATCTCGGAGGTTCGCATCTTGCGCGCAATCTTAACAGAACATCTGCAGTAACCACGAACCTTCTCGAACAAAGAGGCGCAGTGTGCGCTGAGCATTCCTGACCAAATGAAACAACAATGAAAATAACAAACGCGCTTATCAATATTGACCATATTCGAAGCAATTATCGCAGCATACAGCCAGGAAGTCTCAAAACAGGCGGCGCTCTAATGCATGCAGCTTTGTGTGCTCACTTAGCCATCTATGTTCACATGAAAACGAATCTGATTTCCACCTCTTTCAATGCCATCTAAAGCAAAACAATGGGTGCTTTAAAAACGTCTACAAAGAATCAACCATCAAACACTTGAGCTAACAAGGTTTACGTGCGTTTTAAAGGGCTTGTTAACTGCTCACTTTATTAAAAAGAACGAGATTTTAAATGTTTGTGGAACTCCTGTGACGTCATATTGAACTCACAGCATCTGCAGTTGGCTTTGAAGCATCCCAGTCCGTCCACGAGTGAGTCCACGTCGCATTCTTGGTGAGGAGGACAACGCTTCGGACAGTCTTCAGGAACTGATAAATAAACGAGTAGGTTGGTCAATGTTTTCAGTCCAAATTCTTACTGCATTTTTCGACCATGCACTACATCTAATAATTGGCGCCTGTGCAGAGCTTAAAGGTTGCAGACACTTGAAGGTGCGCAAAGCTTTACGTGCGCTATTCAAAAACTCTCTACAAACTTTTCGCCGTGCAGCTGCTAAACGAAATTGTTGAACAAATCTTAGAGGTCATTATTACGAGCGTCAAGCTACTAGCTTTCATGTTCACCGAGGTGCTATAAGCAAGCTTGGTACTCTCATCTTAGGTCTAGTATATTAGGCCATGTTGATGTGGTATGCAAGATATTCATAACATTCATCTTGTAATATTGTTTGATTGAAAGTCCTACGCTGCGTTACCTAGATCACGTAATTTATAGTACACGCTATAAAAAAAGACGCAAATTTAAAATACTTATCCTAATCTGAAAGCATCACCCCCCCCCGGCACCAACGTCGTTCCCTAAGCGTAGGGCTACGATTGCTTCTGAAACCACTTATGAACTGCACGGGTCGCGTAGATTTATCGTGTGTATGTGAGCCTACACTCTTAATCTTGTTCCACATAGGTTACAGATAAAGCAGTCGTTACCCGGAACAGACGGAGCTGTTATGTGGATCAGAGTGCTTTGGCGAGGGTTATCTGGAACAGCAGCTGTTTTATTCTTTAGTTTTTGTTTACTTAAGTGAAACCAGATATATGCCATCGAGCCCAGCGATTTGTTTAAGTTACCAAGTGGCGTGCTTTTATGGCTGTTCTACTTACGGCGGCAAAGTGACGCCGTATCTGCATCGCATGTTTCATATATCATAAAGAACCAGATTATACAGCTTGGGCGTGTCATAGAGGAGGTCCTTCTTTGATCTCTTGTTTGATTTCGAAATTTGCAACGGAAGAAAGCACGCTCAACGCGGGGCTAGCGTTCGCGTAATAACGACTGTAGAATCACCACGTCTCTCGGCTGTGGATCTTCCTGCAAGTAGAAGAAAGCACTTCCGTGCACTCGCAACAACACTGTCTTCACTGGTGAGCGTTGCGGTGGTTACGGATTTGACAAGTGGTGCATAGACGTACAGGCAGCGTGCGCCATTTTCTTCACTTGTGAACGTGCGTGCTTTTCCCAAGCTTCGTTCGTGTCTTTAGATGATTCAGGAGGCTCTGGGACCATCGTTAACAAGTTTGGTTTTGAAGCCTCGGACTATTGATTCAGAAGTTGCTTCCCACCGGTGAGTGACGAGCATTTATACAGCTTATGCATTAGCGGTACGGTGGAGGCAGTCCTTGCACCATTTTCATTGCTTGCATTGAGTTCTGTCTTTGTTGTTTAGCTTGAATGTTTATGCGACCGCAACCAAAGAAAGAGAGTTTGGGCGTTCATGAACCAGCAAGACGAATACGTAAGCGTCTGTCAGCAACATAGTTGGTGGGCCTGGTAAAGCTGGTATGTAAATTCTGCCAAGAAATCATAGACGTGATGAAATGTTCACAACAAAAATGGCACTGTAACAGTATGATGCATTTAACTATAGGTTTGGTTCACTGAGACTTGTTGTGCAAAACACTGACTTTTATGGAAATATTGCCCGCTTGCTTGTATGGCCCGCGCGAGTGTGTTAGGAAAATTCACAATGACCTTTCAAAAGCGTTGTTGGCACGACTGGCTCACTTCGACACCCTTTCCAGTTTACGACAAACCAGCTTGCAGTTTGCACCACGCGAAGTCACCTTATATTTCTGTATTTTAGCGTCTGTGACAACAGGATGGTGTTCGAAGTGGTGTCACCTTATGTTTCCCTATTTTAACGTCTGTGACAACACGGTTGTGTCCAAGTGGTGTTTGGTACGTTTTGGGGTATGTTGTGCGCAGTGCCGTGTCGTGTATTATAAATTCTTCAAAAACATTTGCTCACATTTTTCTTTAAATCACTTTTTTATTGCGCCATTAAATTTTATGTCAAGTGTTGAGCATTCTTATGCTAAAACTGCTGCTTCTGTACTGTTAACGTAATAATGAACAAGCAGTAATGGTACCGACTAGAGTTTTCAATTTTTTTCCAGTGATTGGCTTCTAAATTGACGATCTCCCGCTTGTTATTGGACACCTCGATAATGGCCCACAGCGCGATCTTACCACAGAAAAAAGGCTCTTTACCATTCGTTCCTCCACGCACATCGAAAAAGTCCCACATTGATTTTTCTGAGGTAAGGAGAGTGGCGTGGTTCCCATTAAATTGTCTACTTCGAAAATATTGTATAGTTTTACATCAATTTGAGTGCATTTGTCGGCGTGAGCATGCATGTGTGTGTGCGCTCTTGCGTGTGTGGTGGTGCATGGGGCGGGGGGGGGGGTACGAAATATTTTATTCTGCATGTGTATTTAAACATATAATAAGGGGTCTGTTACGTTCCAGCTAATTGAGGCTGTAAAGGCACCAAAACTGCCACAAAGGTAAATTAAACGTTTTAAACACTCCCTTACAAGCTTGGATGAGAAAGCGCAATTTAAAATGAAATCACATTATATGAAGTTAAGGTCATTCTCGCTTTACTGTTTTATCATCTAATTGTTGAAACGCTTTTCCTATTTTTTGAGGATAATGAATGCGTTCCAGAATTGCCAGATCTTGATGTCAGCCATGCAAACAAGTCTCCCGGCGTAAAAAGACTGCGGCGAAGGCTCCTTAAACGGCCAAGTTAATATCGACCTAAGCTCCGGCAGCAGAACCAACAATGAGCTCCACAGGTCAGGTAGCTACGTGAAAAACTGGCGCCTGAAGAAAGAGCTGCAGAGTGAGATGCAAAAAAGGAACAGATGGAGTTGCAACGGCAGCTTGATGAGCGATATCAAATAACCATTCAGTTACGTCTTCGATTGGCGGTAACCGAAAACACCCGAGAACCAGCCGTAGCGGAAGCATGTCGACCAGCCCAAGGATGATTTAAAGTGAATCTGCATAACTTCATGCCGGGGTTTGACGAGAGCTGAGACGACCTCGACGCACACCTAAAAAGGTTTGGTAACGTGGCAAGGGCCAAGAATGACCTAGTAAAAGTTGGCAACGGCCTTAAGTTTGTGTCTCAGCGGCAAAGCTCTAACTAAAGGTGGTCGGTCGCTTGTCCCCCGATAAGGCCCTCGACTATAAAAAAGCTAACCTGGCACTGCTGCAACGGCACTGATTGTTGGCCTAGTTGGTACTTGCTTACTGACATGCTTTGGCATAGCTAAACACTAAACGACAAGCCGCTTGTGCTTGTCGTTTAGTGTTTTTTTTTTTGCTTTGTGTGTGTTATTTTGCGGCCAAAACATGTCAGTGCTGCAACGGTTTCGGTTTACCTCTGAAGGGTACCGAGAGAAGTTCCGCCACAGCAAGTTGCAAGATGGCGAAACTGGCAAACGGTATGCCATGAGACTTATGAGTCATTTTGACTGGTGGGTAGAAATGTTGGGGGCATAAGCTGTTCGTGATTACCTAGTGGCTTAGCAGTTCGTAGGCAAGTGCCATGGTCTGTTGGCACTATTCCGGCGGGAATACGAATTGCCGTAAGCTGGAAGAGTTTGCGAAAGTGGCTTATCAGTTTTAGAAGCACAACGACAGTCGAACTTGCTCACTTTTTGGGAAAAAACAGACATCATTATGGCCTAAAAATTTAGAGCTTCGTTCCAAAGCCGACACTGCAGTGTTTTCTTTGTCATAAAACAGGTCACAAGGCGGCGGATTGCCGGTCTTGGTCAAAACAGCCGTATTGTGGGTATCGTAGAAAGACGTGGCATAATATTCAAGAAAGCAAGAGAAAATCCGCCATGCAGAAGAAGACTTCGTGTATATAATCTAAAGAGGAAAAACTAAAAGACAGTGACCAGGACACTGACGACCGGTAAGAACAGAACATTACTGTGGAAGTAAATGTGCAACGGAAGAGTATGAAATGCCGGATGCATGTTTTGCAGAGCCTTTTGTTTGGCAAAACTCTAGCTGTTTCACGGAGCGCGACTAGAAACACGACAATAGCGCAACGTTCGCTGCTGCCAGATGCAGCACTTACTGGTTCCACTACAACGGTATTCTTAGCCCATGGCCGCAAACTAACTATCCCAGAGCAAAGGCGGAAATCATTTCGCCATACATTTGTGACATGGCGACTGTGAAGCGCATGACATTCCCGCTGTATTACGTTATTATTGGGAATGCCCCAAGAGCTCGTCATCCACACGACCCGGACTAGGAATGGAAGGAAAAAGAAACCATGAGCGAAGTGAGGCAGAGTGTGATATCAAATAGGCTAGACGAAAAAGAAGACGGCGGCGAAGTAGTGTTTCTCGGAGGAGTCAGGAGCGGAAATTTATGACCGGATTCTGGGACCGTACAATAAAGGCCTGGGAAATAAACCAACGGGATCTTAATGGTGCACAAGCGAAAGATAAGACTCTGGAGTCTTGTAGAAACAAGGTCAGCCAGATATATTACGGGAGAGTATCAGCCCAAAATTCGTTTTTCAGAAAGAAGGGACTGCTTTATTGCTATTACCAGGTGTTGTTCGGCAAAAGAATACAGCAGTTATGAAGCCACAAACTCAGAAAACGCATACTCATAAGCCACCATGATACTCAAGTTAGCCCAAGAAAGCTTGATGGCAGGACATCGAGGTATCAAGAGGACCATCGAATTAGTGCTGGGATCTTTCTACTGGCTAGATGTACAGGAAGAAGTGAAGCGGTACGTGCGATCCTGTGACATCTGTCCAAGGACATCCCAAATAGCAAAGCGGGCAAGCTGCCTCCAGGTCAGATGCCTCTAATCGACACTCTTTTCGAAAGAGTGGCCGTGGACATCATTGGGCCCCTGAAACTAATTACGACAAGCGGAAAATGATACATACTGACTGTGGTGTACTTTGCATTGCGTTATTCCAACGCAGTGGCTCTACCAGTAATTGATTCAGCGACTGTGATGGAGGAATTGGTACAAATGTTTTCACGAGTTGGATTCCCACGAAAAATTATACGTGATCAGGCATCATGCTTCACTTCCTACTTGATAAAAGAGGTGAATAATTTATTGCCCATCAAGCACCTATTATCGATGCCATATCATCCAATGTGCAATGAATTGGTGGAATGGTCGGTTTGTTGGAACATTACAACAGATGCTGCGAAAGCTCTGCCAGGAGGAGCCGAAATCCTTGGATCGGCTTTTGGCACCGCTGTTATTTGCCTACCATGAAGTGCCACAAAGCAGTGTGGGATTTTCACCATTTCAACTCATCTACCGCCGGTACATCAGTGGACCTCTCAGTCTACTCAAGGAGGTGTGGACCGGGGAACAAATCGGCGATGAGAATAAAACCACGTATGGGTACGTGTGAGATCTTCATCATCGTCTATAAAAGACGTTACAAGCAGCCCACGAGAACTTTGTACGGGCCAGAAAAACCCAGAAGATTTATTAGGATTGTAAGAGCAGAATTTGTAAGCACTGAGTAAAAGACTGTGCCCTCATTCTACTGCCCACTACGTTGAATAGGTTTCTAATGCAATGGAAGGGACCTTTTCGAGTCCTTGGGAAAAAGGGAAATCGCGATTACTGGCTGGACTTGGGACGCGAAACTAAATTGCTCCACATAAACATATTAAAACGTTATGAGGACCACCTAACAGAAAACACTTTCCAAACAGCCTCTTTTGTCGTGATGGAAGCGGATGAGACTTATACAACCCTGCCGGTATATATAAGCGGTGTAAGGACAAGTGCTAATGAAATAACGATTGATGAGAAGTATAGACAAGAAAGTACAAATTCTTTAAACTCTGAATGAGTACCAAGACCTGTTTTCGGAGGTTCTAGGAACGACCAATCTTTTGGAATGCCAACTTTGGTTGACGACTTCGGAACCTATTGCTACACCTCAGTACCAATTACCGTTGACAATGAAAGAAGTGGTAGAAAATGAAGCTCGAGAGATGGTGAAACTAAAGTAATTGAGTAGTCTCAGTCTCCTTATAAATCTCCTTTGGTTATTATCAAGAAGTCTGCCAACAAGTACCGGACATGCATCGACTTCCGTCGAATAAACGATCTTTTGGTGTCAGATGCGGAACCGATACCGAGAATGGATGTAATGTTTGCGGAAGTAGATACAAAGATATACTATTCGAAACTTCACCTGACTAAATGATAGTGGCAAGTTCCACTGGACGAAGCCATAACGGTCTTTTTAAATCTCACTGGGCACTACCAGTATATGTACATGCCGTTTGGCATAAAGACCGCATCAGCGTGTTCACAAGATTGATGAGAAGCCTTCTTCAAGATCTCCGAATAGGCGTACGTTACATAGACGACGTGCTTATCGCCACAATGACATGGGAAGACCACTTATAGACTTTGAAGCAATTCTTGCACAAATCGAGAAAAGCATAATTGACCATCAAGCCCTAGAAATGTGAGATCATCGTGTCTTCCGTCGTATTCCTGGGACATCGGCTAGGAGGAGCATACATACAAGCCGTGGAAGGTACTGTTAACAAGATTGCAAAACACCCAGACCCGAGACCAAAAACCACTCCGATCATTTCTTGGACTGACGGGGTACAACCGAGAGTAGACTCCCCATTATGCGGGGAAGGCCCATTTTTAAGGGCGTTGACCAGAAAAAGGAAAGGAAACGAGATTTGCTGGAATCCTCACCGAAAAGCAGCGTTTGAAACCTTGCAGGACGTACTAGCTTCGGCAGTGATTGTTAAGGCTCTTAATCTGCAACGGGTATTTGTGCTTCGCACGGACGCTTCCGATTCTCGTGTCGGCGCGATGATAATGCAGGAGCATGATGAAGTCTTACGTCTGGTCTTCTATGCCAGCCGCCAGCTATTACATTGGGAAAGAAATTATTCCACCATAGAGCATGAATTTGTGGCGCTAGTGTGGACTATACAGTAATTTCACACCTTTTTGTATTGAAAACACTTCATTGTGCAAACTGAACCTTTGCAGTACATAGCCAAAGCCAAACAATTGAATGGTAGAGTTTTAAGGTGGCGCTTGGCCTAGCAAGAATACACATTCACCATCCAGCATATCAAAGGGGCAGATAACACGGGCGCAGACTTCTTGATTAGATTTTGGAGTTATAATTTCAAAATGGGCTTCGATGCTCAAAGAGTGTGACGGTCTTTTGGCCTGCATGCGCATTTAGTGTTTGCAAATGTGGACATTGGTACGATGTTTAGTGAACTGTGCGATATATATATATATATATATATATATATATATATATATATATATATATATATATATATATATATATATATATATATGTATGTGTGTGTGTGTGTGTGTGTGTGTGTGTGCGTGTGTGTGTGTGCGTGTGTGTGTGTGTGTGTGTGTGTGTGTGTGTGTGTGTGTGTGTGTGTGTGTGTGTGTGTGTGTGTGTGTGTGTGTGTGTGTGTGTGTGTGTGTGTGTGTGTGTGTGTGTGTGTGTGTGTGTGTGATGTGGTGCCAAACACGCAGTTAGCAGCATTTTATTTTTCGGAACAAAAAGTACTAAACGAAAGGAGGGCCTTTGTGATGCAGTGCAGGGAAATTAAAGTGAATGGAGTGCGCGGAATTTAAAACGAATTGAGTGCACGGAATTGCGAGTGCGTGCCGTGAAACAAGTTGGAATTCAGCAAGGAAGAAGTTGGCATGGACGTGAACGAAATAGCAAGAAATGACACGCGCCAATTCGACGAACACGCAGCACTGTTCGAAGCACGCGCAAGAGGAAAGAAAAGAGAGTCGCAGCGGTGGCCGGAGGAAGACGAGCCATGCATCAGGGGGGTCAGGTTTCGGACCAGAGCCAAGGCTGCTACCTCCGTCGACCAGTGACCTGAGGAGCTCCAGGGATACCTGGCGGCGCTGACGTTCCCGTGCCTTTCGAAGGGCCTCAGGAGTCGGACTTCGGGCTCGAGCTCAGATGAGGCTGTCCGGCCGGGCATCTACCTCGGAGCCAGTGCGTCAAATACGGCGTTAGCTGGTCCAGGATCCGCCGACAGCTTAGGAAGGCTGCTTATCTTGCCGGTCAAGCAGTTGCTCAAAATCTACGCAAAGTGCACCGACGACTGTGTCAACCTCTGTGCTTCGCTCCAGGCTTACACTCAACGACGTGGATGAGACCCCACTCTTACGCAACTCTCCGTGACGAAGTCTGTGCAGGGACTGAGTGGTAGGATTTCATGATTAGTGACTAAGGTATAGCATGTACATTTCTTTACTCCTTTATTGGCGGGATATAGGACCGGTTATATTTATTGGGGTTAAGTGCTTTCGAGTTAGTGTTATTAACTTTCGTTTTAAACAGACTCGTCCTTCGTAAAGTGTCCTGAAGTGGCACCTCGAAACTCCCAAGTGCATAACCAAACCTGCACGTTGTGCGAAAAAAACCATAACATTACAATGTTGCGTAATTGGACAAGGTTTGGTAATGCTTGCTATTTCGTCTTTATTAATCTTATTTTTTGAATGAAGGAGAAGTGGACTGGCACAAGACGCGAGCATGCGCTGTGGGGGTATGGATGGCGCCGCCGACGCCAGATCCGCGACATCGTGCGACTAAAAAATGCTCCGCATTTAAAAGGAAAAGAAACGACAGCTTGGTGGGATGTGTGACACAAGCCCGAAGAGGTAGAGGCCTCCGGGGAGGTTGCCTTATGGATACTAGGTGTGCTTTTTTCTTATTTTTGCCCTCTGTGGTTGTAGCTTTTACTCTTACTTTATTTCGAGAAATGAAAGTAGCTAACGTGGCTACTGCCGCTGTCTGTCTCCTTCTGTTCAGTGCCGCTGTCTGTCTCCTTCTTTTTCTTGTCTCTCGTTTTTGGCGCTGTTTTTTATGTGAATTATTTCGAGAGTTGTGAAAAAATTGTGACGTCCAAATGTTGTTGGAGGCGAAGAACCGGAAAAAGAGGATGTCTTGCTGGCTGATCTTCCGCCTAATTTAAGAGTTCATTACATGAACCCCATCAGAAGCCGGAGCTCCCCGTGGAAGTGACTCGTCGTTTAGATTGAAATAAAATACTAACATTGGCGCGCCGTTGTATTGCACATCGGCGGCGAAGTTTCTCTCGGGACTTCGGCAGCGGCGCTAGCGGGGCTAGCAAAAACAGGCGGCGCCGTAGCACAACTCTACTCACAGCAAACGCAGTTCGCCTCGAAGCAGCCTTTGACGTCCCTGGCGGAGGCAGGGTGGCAGATGTGGCGCGGTTTCTGGCACGGGTTCACGCACGTCGTGAATGTGTCCGATCCCGGTGACGGTGCTGTGGGAGCAGACGTATAGGCGATTCAAGTAGTTGCACATGTAATGTATGAACTACACAGGTCCCACACAGCGTGGCGACCGTTCCCTTTTCGTTGCGTCGCCCTTTGAAAATGAGAATTCAACAGCTGCCTTATTTTTGAATTTTAAATAATAAGCGTTTATGCCATATCTGCTCATTCAGTTGCGATAAATGTGGCAACAACTAAATTTTCATCTTACCACTTAGAACACATATTTCATGTACGAAACGAAGCGTCTATCTCAACGGGCTTATTTGTGGAATGAATTTGCGGAGTAGCACAAGTTTTCAAGTAGGTCCTTCAAAACATGTGAGAAAAATGAAACGCTGTTCTCTCACGTTTTGAACAAAACACTTGTCTATGCATTGAAGCTGAAAAATCCAAAAACTCTATTTCAATTTGGCACAAATTTTTGGCACAAAACACCTATCTCAGCTTTGCCATCACCATGAATATTCTTACAACGTTGTATTCGTAACTTTTCTACTATTAGTTCTATGGATTGTAATACATTGTAAATTTTTATGCCATAAAGCCAATAAGTTATATTGACAATAAAGTAAAGAAACTCGAACAATTAGGATATCAAGGTGAATCTTTTGTGTTTTGGTGTCATTGGCTCCTGAAATCATTTGAAACACAATATCTTATGTCGCCTGTTCTCTCAAAGAGCAAAATACCTTAGTATTTATTTATTTGATTTATATGCGAAGTTTAACGTCCCAAACCACCATTTGATTATGAGAGACACCGTAGTGGAGTGCTCTGGAAATTTTTACCGCTTGGAGTCCTTAACGGTCCCCCAAATTTGAGCACACATGCCCACATCGTTTTTGCTTCCATCAAAAATGCAGCCACCGAAGCCGAGATTCGATCCCGCGACCAGCGGGTTAGCAGCCGAATACCTTAGGCACTAGACCATCTAAGTCGGGGCTTATTTATTTATTTATTCAAGTACATCACAGGTTCTCATTTGGAATATTATGTGAGCGGGGTCATCCATCGTGTTTCATGCAGCACAGGTCGTAAGTTAGTCAATGTAGGAACAGGTAAGTTGAACAACGTTAATACTAAATACAAATCTTTCTAGCACTGAACATAATAGTAGCATTAAGGGTGAAGGCGACAGAAGAAATGCGCAGTAAAAACACCTGACTCGCCTATACGACTTAAAGAGCGAGCATCCTTTGCACAAGCAGAAAGTCGAGGCTATGCCAAAAAAAACACAAACATTAAATGAAATTCTGAAAACACTATGTATAGTTCTTTTTTGAACGTTTCAGGTCACGTATACTAATAACCCCCTTTTCTGGAAGATTGTTTGAATATTCTATGGCACGAGGTAACGCCAGGCGCGAACGATGAACAGGCGTGAAACCAAGGAGGTTTAAAAAAAAAACTTCTGGAGTGGAAGCGCCTGCCCTCTGGTGACGCCGACGACCGCCATGTTTCTCCAGGCAAAAAACGTGCCGTCGGTCGTTTGGGCCCCCGCCGTTCGCGCCACTGAACAACAGTTGTCGCGTTTGTCCCTCGTTCTTTTGTTCTGTGCGGATTTTGTGCAGTTCTAAAGGAAGTTGACAGGATTCCGGACGTTATGGTGAGCTCGTGTGTCGCCTTCGGCTGCACTAATCGTGCGAAGCAGAAGCCAGGAATCACTTTTCACGTGTAAGTACGCGGGAAAAAGCGCTTTCAATCGCTTGTCTCCTTCGGCGCGCTACCTCATTCGAGAAGCGCGGTTTCAGCTGAAAACTTACTTTCATTAGCATTTTTCAGCTGGCGAGTAGAAGTTGAATAACCTATTTTGTGCGTGTGGTACCGCAGGTTTCCGAAAGACAAGACGCTGCGTGACGCATGGCAGCGTGCTGTTCGGAGGGATGGCTGGGAGCCTAAGAATGCGGACGTTCTCTGCTCGGAGCACTTTGAAGCCAACTGCTTTGACAGGACGGGCCAAACGACCAGACTGCGACCAGGGAGCATTCCTACCATTTTTCCTGCGTTCCCTGCGCATCTCCAGAAACCAGTGAGTACCATCACGAATGTACATTTTCGTTACGGTAAATAGGCTATAGATTTCCGAATGTGTAGGCACAGTTTCTCGTTTCCTACGTGCTGTTCAAAATCACACCACTCTCTGACAAAGCGCACGTCACGTACACTTACTTGTCCAACTTTTTTTTTTCACGGTGCGTGCATAAATACGGGCACGCTAAACTTCCGCACCAAAACTATAAAAAGATCCCCGAGGTAGTAATCCCGTTTCTAGTCAGTCTAAGCAGTGGGTGGGACCATTATACCCGGCTTCTGAACTTTGGAGCATAACTGATTTTTTTTTTCTTGCAGGCGAAAAGAAAGCGAGAGGCCCCTAAGTGTCGGACTGCGCTGTCACCTGTCGTCAGTGCTGAGGCAGCGGTTGAAATGCCATATGCCATCTGAGCCTTCTTCGCCGGCGAAGGATTGGTACCGTTCCAAGGCAGAGGAGTCTGCACAAGAGGTTCTCCAACTAAAGAAGAAAGTTAAGACACTGCAGCAATCCAAAAGAAGGCTAAGCAAGCGGTGTGATGCGTCAGAAAATTTGATCAATGAGCTAAAAGAGAGGAAACTTTTGTCAGAAAAAGGCCTTGAGGTCTTTGAAGCAACTTTCTCGCCTGAAATTCAACAGCTTCTTGTCCGAGCCCATGAAAAAACAAACAAGATGTACTCCCCAGAGCTACGTGCATTCGCACTCACTCTGCACTACTACTCTGCGGCAGCGTATGAGTATGTGCGGTCGAAATTTAACAACGCTTTGCCTTCGCAACGTACGTTGCGTGAGTGGTACAAATCTGTAAATGGCGATCCGGGTTTTACCTCTGAGGCTTTTGATTTTATTAAAAATTTAGCCAAAAGCCAGGACAAGCCCCTGATCGCAGCACTCATGATGGATGACATGGCCATCAAAAAACATGTTCAGCTTGTTGGGAAGAAAGTGGTAGGCTACATCGATCTTGGAACAGGTATCTCCGATGATACCTCACAATCAGGCTTCACCACATTTCCAAAGAAATCAACCGCAAGAACACGCGCAGTGGGGTACGAACCCAGCTGACAAGGACTATTATATTTAAAAATCTGTAAGGTACAGATGAGAACCAGCGTTGAACAAAGCGGAGCAGCTGGTATATTCTATATTTTTTGCAATTTTAGTGTGTTGTTATAGAGTTGCCTGATATAACCTGCGTTTTGGGAATCAGGCCGTTTTCGTGTGAATTGTTTCTGTTTTATTGTATGTGCTTTTGGAAATTGTATAAAGCCTTCAATGAATAAAAACTCATATACCCCTGTGTTGCTTCCACCGTGAGCCTCATTTCGAGAATTGCAAGCGAATCCGCACTTACAGCAGCTAACCGTTGTAATGCATATTCGCTAATACGTAATCGCGTACGGCTCACGTGTAATATCGTAACTGACGGCTTTGTACAGATCTTGTTTATCTAACACGAAGAAAAAAATGCGAGTGAAATTAATTACACTAAGTGCCCCGTTTCATTCGAAAAAGCCGCCACGGAAGCGCGCTGGATACGTTGTCTGCGCTCTCTCTTGCCTGGAGCAAGATGGCCGCCAACCGGTTTCCCCGGCTTCACCCGCTTGCGTAGGCGTGAATAGGGGACCTCCACTCCAGAAGTTTTTTTTAAACCTCCTTGCGTGAAACCGACATGGCTTCAGCGGTACCCTTCACGCTGTTTCTACTGCTTACGCAGGTTAACAGCGCTTCTGCGCGACAATGTCCCAGGAAAGCTGCAGCGTTTGTTTTTGTTTTGTTCACAAGAAGGAGCCTCAATGCAAGAACTACGATCAACAAATCCTAAAAGCGACGTAGCACCTGATGACTACTGCGAGATGACGTCACCAGACGTTCCGGTCGACGGTGCATGTGCGATTCCTGTCAGTGAAACTCTGAGCGATTACCGGCTCGGCGATAACGGTCAGCTTCATGAAGCGGGGCTCTTTAGTGGGCCAGTGGGGCGTGAAACGGGAATGCTTTCAGCGCTGCCCTTTACGCTGTTTCTACTGCTTACGCAGGTTAGCCCTACGGAACTCACCTTTTTGCTCCCTTTTTTCTTGCCGGTTTCACCCCAAAAGTTGCTTCACTGCGTTCTGTCACATTCATGCACGCGATGCCGTTCGCGGAAACAGTTTCGCTTGCTACCCCGCTTCTCCTTTTATTTTTTGCTGCTGCTATTGTGTGGCGACGTAGAGATGAATCCGGGACCATCCACCGAAGTGGCACTGCAGCAGGTCTTAGCAGGTCAAAGAATAATTAAGGATAAACTAAGTGCTGTTGAAACCGTTCAAGCTGCAAACAAGCTCGCTATAAATAATCTGGGTGATCGAATGAAAGCCCTTGAAACTAAATTGACAAACATTGATGAAATAAAATTATTCGTTGCAGAGTACGTTGTACAACGTGAAACTCAAGCGCGAGCAATGAAGTCCCTAATGTCAAATTGACGACCTTGAAAACCACGGCAGCAGGTGCAACCTCATCTTTCTTGGTATATCTGGCAAAGGTACTAACGGGACAAATGCAGAGTGTGAGAAACAAATCTTGGATATCTGTTATTCAAAGTTAGGAATTCCCACTGTCCGAATAGAAAGGGTTCATAGGTTAGGATGTTTTCGCGCTGGGAGGAGCAGACCGATCATTGCAAAACTTAAATTTTTAAAAGAAAAGCTACATGTTCTAAGCAACACAAAAACGTCAAAGGGCACCGCGACTAGCATTGCCGAAGATTTTTCCGAAGCAGTACGAAAGAAAAGAAAAACTTTGTGGGAATATGCAAAATCACAAGAACAGGATGACACGAAAGTTATGTTTAAGTACGATTACCTTCTTCTTAAGTGGCAGAAGTATGTATGCGATGGCGCAACAACGCAAGTGACGTTGCCATTCTAGTTCTCTGAACATTGGTATTCTTGGGCTGCATGGCAGGAGCACAAAAATTAAGAGAGGTGAATTCAGAACGTCAGTGGAAACTGTTAAAGGTTTTGTGATTCTCGGTGTGGAATCTTGGTTAGAACCTGACATTTGTGAACACGAGGTATTTTCAACAAGATGCTCCTGCTACAGAAAATACAAGAATGGTCACAGAGGTGTGGTGTTGATATTCATAGATATAGCAGCACTAGATCCTCCCAGATTAGCATTTATTCTGGCGAGGGTGAAGTATAATTGTGCAAATTAGAACTTCCCAGCCACATCGCCTTAACAGTATATAGCTTTTATCGTCCCCCTAATGCATCGGCGAATGTTGTCACTCGATTTCAAAGTTTGATTGATGAATTGCACTAAGATACAGTGGTCATTGGGGGAGACTTCAATTCACCGGACTTGAAATGGGATGCATTGAACACTGTCATGGTTACTGGAATGTGCAATATGGAAATGATGAACATGGTGAACCTGCATACTCTGCATCAGACAGTCCTCACCCCTACGCGGGGAATAACATTTTAGACCTTCTGCTTACCAACAGACCAGAACTTGTTCAGTCGACACTAGTGATTTTTCGTATAAGCGAGAACCATGCTGTCGTGTCTATGATGTAACTGCGCTATGTTGATACCAAAAACCGTGTTAGCAGAAAAGTATACAATTACAAAAAAGCCAATGTCGATCGTATAAATCGAGCATTAGAGACTTACTTAGTAGCGCTCAAAACTGAAGCCGAGAGTAGGAGTGTGGATAGGCTGTGGCGGTTACTTAAGCAGAAAATGCTTGAATTACGTGAGTTGGTCCAAGCTTGGTTGTTAACGGCGACATAGGGTAGAAGCAAACCCTGGTTCACGAAAGCTTTGCGCCAGCTTACACAAATAAGACAAAGGACCTATCGCACCTATGTTGCAGAAAACCCTCAAAAAAGCAGAAAAAAACTGAAAGAAATACCACTTGAAGGTAACGAAGCAATACACATTGCCAATGGCTCGAGAGATTCGGGAGCTATTTAATCAAGAATGAAAGAAAGATAAACCAAAAGTGTTCTGGAACAACGTGAAAAAGAACGGCAAAGATGTTGTAACTATCCCTCCGTGCACTCGTGCATGGTGACGTCATTGTTCGCGAAGACGCTGACAAAGCAGAATGCTTTAACGCCTACTTCTGCTCAGTCTTTACTCCTGCAGTAACGCCCTCTTCTGATGGCCCAACGATACTTGAATCGATACGTGACATGGGGGATGTTGTTATATGTACACACGGCATTGAATCATTGCTTCGAAGGCTCGACTCTTCTGAACATGTAGTCCTGACGACCTGCCAGATTTCCTGCCTAAATCATGCGCTGAATCAATAGCAAAGTATTTGAAAATCATATTCGATAAATCACTACTGCAATCTTCTCTTCCCGATGAAAGGAAAGCAGGTATCGTGGTACCTATTCATAAGTCCGGCCCAAGAAGCAACGTTTCAAACTACCTCCAGATATCGCTGACATACGCTGCATGCAAAATAATGAAGCACATGCTATTCACGAGTAGTGCAGCTTACTTGAATGCTCATTCTGCGATTACGTCATCCCAACATGAATTTCGTATAAGTTTCTCCTCTGTTAGTCAATTATTGAAATTCACTAATGATATTGCCTCAGCAATAAATAAACGGCTTGCAGTTGAATGCATTTTCCTCAATTTCAGGAAAGCTTTCGACACAGTACCCCACTCATTGCTCATAGAAAGGATGCTCACATATAAAATTAATCCGGCGGTTGTCTCAAGCATTAAAGAATATCTCACGTTACGACGGCCATTCATGGTTGTAAATGGGGCTCGGTCTGCGCACGGAAAAATTCGGGGCAGATCGCACGTACCTGGGAATTGACGTTATGCGAAGCATGTGGAGGGAAAGTGACCGTGTTGCATCTTTTTTCATTTAGCAACACTTCATGAAACGACGCTAAATATATGTGCAAATGTTGCACGCAAAGACACGTGATGAAAAGTTGCAGACGTTAATAAAGCCAGTTGTTCGCACTTGCGCAACGATGCCAACTGGAGCATGCGTATTAGCCACACCAAAAGCTGACATGAAGCGCTGAAGCTCTCGAGGATGCTGGCCCTGGACATTGCTACATAAGTCAACTTCAACCCAACATGACGGCTTCATAGGAGTACATATGTAATGTTTATAAATTTGGGTAGGTATATAGCAATGGAACCACTACTGACGTTTCACGAAGATTAGCGTCTATTTGAAAAGTAGTTCTGATACCTGACGTAGATCTGTGGTAAAATGCTCCATTGCAATGCAGAATTGCTTGTGTTCAATTCCAGCTGGGACCTTGATATTGTCACGATGAGTCACAAGTACTGGGGGATATATTGAACGACCGGGTAGCTAGCTCTAGGACGATGCGTCAGTCGTGGCTGGCTCTCGAGCTGAGAAGAGACACGTGAATCTT